CCTTCTGTGACTAAATTCACTCAGCATAATGCCCTCCAGATTCCTGCATGTTATAAGATGTTCAAGGCTTCATCATTGTTCTTTATTGTTGTGTAGTATTCCATTGTGTGGCTATACCATAATTTGTTTATCCATTTGTCCGTTGATGGGCACCTAGGTTGTTTCCATCTTTTTGCTATTGTGAACAGTGCTGCAGTGAACATGAGTGTGCGTATATCTTTTCGTGTGACGGCTGTTATTTCTCTAGGCTATATTCCAAGGAGTGGGATAGCGGGATCCTATGGTACTTCCATTTCTAGCTTTTTGAGGAAGCGCCAAATTGATTTCCAAAGTGGTTGTACCATTTTACATTCCCACCAACAGTGTATAAGGTTCCAGTCTCTCCACAACCTCTCCAGCATTTATTATTTAGTGTTTTTCAGATTAATGCTAGCCCTGTTGAGGTGAGATGATACCTCATTGTAGTTTTGATCTGCATTTCTCGAATGGCTAATGATCATGAGCATTTCTTCATCTGTCTGTTAGCTGCCTGAATATCTTCTTTGGCGAGAAGCGCCTGTTCATATCCTTTGCCCATTTTTAACTGGGTTATTTTTCTTTTTGTTGTTGAGGTTTTGCAGTATCTTGTAGATTTTAGAGATTAGACGCTGATCGGATTTGTCGTAGCCAGAAATTTTTTCCCAGTCTGTAGGTTGTCTTTTTATTCTTTTAGAAAAGTCTTTTGATGAGCATAAGTGTTTGATTTTTAGGAGCTCCCAGTTATCTAGTCTCTTTTCTGGTGCTTGTGAATTGTTACTGATGGTTCGTATTGTGTTTATGCCATGTATTAGGGCTCCTAGCATTGTCCCTATTTTTTCTTCTGTGATCGTTATTGTTTTCGATTTTATATTTAAGTGTTTGATCCATTTTGAGTTAGTTTTTGTGCATGGTGCCAGGTATGGGTCTTGTTTCCTTTTTTTGCAGATGGATATCCAGTTATACCAGCACCATTTGTTAAAGAGACTGTCTTTTCCCCAATTAACGGACTTCGGGCGTTGGTCAAATATCAGCTGCTCGTAAGTGGATGAATTTATGTCTGGATTCTCAATTCTGTTTCATTGGTCTATGTATCTGTTGTTGTACCAGTACCAGGCTGTTCTGACTACCATGGTGGTACAATAGGTTCTAAAATCAGGTAGTGTGAGGCCTCGCATTTTGTTCTTCTTCTTGAGTAATGCTTTACTTATCCGGGGCCTCTTCCCTTTCCATATGAAGTTGGTGATTTGTTTCTCCATCTCATTAAGAAATGCCTTTGGAATTTGTATTGGGATTGTATTGTATCTGTAGATTGCTTTGGGTAGAATTGACATTTTCACAATGTTGAGTCTTCCTATCCATGAGCGAGGTATGTTTTTCCATTTATGCAAGTCTCTTTTGGTTTCTTCCAGTAGTGTCTTGTAGTTTTCATTGTATAGGTCCTTTACTTCTCAGGTTAGATTTATTCCTAAGTATTTTATCTTCTTGGGGGCTATGTAAATGGTATTGATATGGTGATTTCCTCTTTGAGGTTCTCTTTGTTGGTGTAAAGGAATCCATCTGATTTTTATATGTTTATCTTGTATCCTGAAACTTTACTGAAATCTTCTGTTAGTTCCAGTAGTTTTCTTGTGGATTCTTTGGGGGTTTTCTGCGTAT